AAAACATGCCAATAATGCTTACCTCTGCACAGCAAATGTGAAGAATAAGAGGCAGCACTTGGTTCCACTATATATTTATTACATAAACAGCAGATGTTTGCAGGCCCACTAGGTTCTAGGCACAGTCAGGTGCTTATGGACATGCATTATAACACTGCAACATTGGTAGTTAGGGTGACTAACTCAACTCAGTTTGCCTAAGACTGCCCCAGCTTTGCAAGTGAAAGTCCTGAATCCCAGATACTCAATCCAGGACAAACAAGAGCAGTTGGTCACCCTACTGATAAATGTTCTCATCTTACAGGTGTGGAAACTGAGACTTTGTGCCATGTAAATTGCCCAATATCACACAGCTGGGAAGGAGTTGGCCTGATATTTGAAAGCATGCTTGAATAACTCTCAAGCCTGTGCTCTTTCTGCAGCCCTAAACTCTGCTTAGTAAATGTTGCCTTCCTTGCTGAATTACTAGAACATTCTGAATTTTGCAAATATTTGGACATCAGACTACATTTTTCCCTCACTCTCTTTAACTATAATTTCAGGAATGCATGTATGTATGTATGTTGAAGAGTTGGGGATTGCCGTCTAGGTCATAAGCATAAGGAAAATGACAAGCATTTCACCTAACATTTATTTCAAAGAACACTCCGCCTTTGTCAACACAGAGAGCATTTATTGGTTTGTTCATTCAGTCAGCCACCAGGAACGCAGTGAAGTTCTGCTATGTGGGGATGTGGGCAGATACAAAGAAGAGTAAGACACTAGCCTCAAGATGTTTATAATGGGAATAGAAAGAATTAGTTATCAAGGAGAAAGAGGGTGGTGTAGTGGTTAAGGTGCTAGATTCCCACATGGTCGACTGAGGTTCAAGTCCCAGACCTGGTGGCTTGCTTTCTCACTTTTCCTTTCTCTCTCTCTGGTCAAATGAAAAAACAAATACTAGTAGCAAATAAAATTAAATAAATAAATAATTCTTTAAAAAAGGAATCAGTTATTAAGTAGTTGAGAACATTCTTCATTGAGGGAACTATGTAACTATGTTACCTCCATCACATGTGCTCCAACCATCTGGGTCTTCATTCATACTCCAAGCATATCCCTATTACATTTGTGTGTGTGTGTGTATTTGTGTGTGTGTGTGTGTGTGTGTGTGTGTTTGCACTAGCTGTTACCACTGACTGAAAGATACTCTCCCTTCTTTGTCAATTAGATAAAGTATCCCTCATCAGAAAGAACTTCCTTAACTGCTTCAGGTTAAATTAACCACCCAGAAATTCTCTGTTATAGCACCCTGTGTAGAAGATCTTCCTAGGGTTTGTTTATTTCCTATCTGATATTTGTTTTCCTTAGTTGGTTGTTCCTTGCTTTTTTGCCTGCCTTCCTTTACAGACTGTAAATTCCAGAAAGAAGAGGTGACTTGTTTGTTTTATTATTTGCTTTATTCATGACCCTATCCTCAGGAAACAGAACAATACCAGGCACACAGAAGCAGTTAGTAAGTATTTACTGGATTGAGAAAATTAATGAATGAAATGTTTTGGGTGCTGGAAGGGACAGCTAACTCAGTATAAATGAAGAGAGGTTAGAGGGGGACTGGACTTGGACAACTTGATTCAACTTTAACTTGGTTTTCTGGTTATTAAGGTATATATTTTCAATTTTTAAAAAATGCCAGTTAAAAGTAGAACAGAAAAGAAATAAAATGAGCTGTAATCACTTAATAACATTTTGTTTCACATTCTTTCCCAGGTCTCTTTGATTCATGGTCAGAAATACATTTGAACAAAAATCACTCCTTTATAGTTCTATACCTTTTTTGGGTGTATTTTCTTATAACATCATTTCTTATATTTTCATTGTAAAGGTTGATTTGCTTTTCATCTGAACACACATGCTATGATTAATCCAGCCAAATTATGTTGTCTGAGTGTTTGCAATTTCTTTTCCATCATGAACAACATGGGGTTGAACAACCTCAAAGTCAGATCATCTTTTTACGGACCCATGTGATAACCTAAAGTAGAAGCAGATGAACTTTGGTTTGAATTTTATACCCATCAATTTCTTTTGACTTTTTCTTTTTTCTTTTAAGTTTCCTTATCTGTAACATGGGAACCCAAAGAGGGCCTACTTTGAAGGGCTATTGTGCAAATTAAACAGTAGAATACAAGCAAAGCATTCAGCCCAGCCCAAGTGTATAATTAAAGTTGGGCTGTCCTTGAAAATTTCCTATGAATAAATTTATACAAGTCCAATTTGCTTTCTAATCTTTTTTTTTTCTTTATAATAGCATTTTGCTCTAGGGAGCATGTGCTTGCTGGAGAGGTAAAGAGAGACAGTGAGAGGGAAAGTATGAAAACACCCCCCAACCCCTCCACAGAGGATGGTCACACCATAATCTGTCTCCTCTGCTCTCCTCCTGGGATTCTGGGCATGTACACACACATATGCCACCTGCTGGCCCCAGCTTTCTAAGCTATTGTAAAGGACATATAAAGACTAGCTGAAGAGATGGGTGGGGAGGAGGCTGCAGACAGAGAAAGGTAAGTTGGGGCTAGAAAATCTTTTTTTTTTTTAAATTATAGAAGAACTTTAGATCCCTACTTTGTCAGTATGGGGGGAGGAATAGCCTTTTATTTAGATAAGGAAGCCAGGGAGTTGAGCTTTGCTTGGTCAGAGAAGTTTGAATGTCAACATAAAGAAGGGCCTGGCGGGCTGTCCAACTCAAGATGCTGGTATAAGTAATGAATGTAAACAATATTTTTTTTAAAAAATTACTTCTTTAATTTTTTTATTCTTATTACTTTTATTTTGATCAGAGAGGAACAGAGAAAGAGAGAGAGAGAGAGAGAGAGAGAGAGAGAGAGAAAGCCACCAGGCCCAAGACTTGAATCATAGGCAGCCATGTGGAAGTTCAGTGCTTTAGCCACCATGCCACCTGTTGACCCAATGGATGGCTGCCTCCTTGTTGGGGAATCAAATCCCAGTCTCTCATGTGACAGGCAGGGATGGTCTCCACTACACTAAGGAGAACGGAGGTGTGAAGAATATTTGCAGTCTTGGCAATGAAGATTACCCCACTCAGTGGAGTTTTCTTTTGGGCCCAACTACAGTAACGCATGCACTACTGCAGTAGTGCTCTGAAGGTTAGAAGCACATGGGAGGCCTGGCTTCATTTCCCAGTGCAACCTAAAGGCCAGGTGTGGTGGCACATGCCTGGAACCTACTCGGAGAGACCTAGACAAGAGACTCTTAAACTCAAAGTTAGCTTGGGCAACAAAGTGAGACCCAATCTAAAAAAGATCTGGGTATAATGGCACCTATGATGCCAGCTACTCAAGAGGGTAAGGCAGGAAGCTAATGATGTGGAAAGACCCTGTTGTAAAACAAAACAGAACAGAGCAAAGCAAACTTGTCTTTTGTGACTCTTCTGAAAAGTTGTAAGCTCACCCCAAAATATACATCCCATCTTATATTCAATACATGCTATTAATTATGTCTTATCTATTTCTCATTTTTTTGTATTTTTCTTTTCACTAAACTGTTAAAATTTTAAGCATGAAAGTACTAGCATAGTCACACACCGCTGAGATCATGTTTATTTAGTGATATCTGACAAGTACAGAAATTAAAAAGAATATTTTACAAAATGTATAATTTATATATTTTTATATATAAATACTTTAAAAGAGAAAAGTGGAACCCATTTGCTGACATCAGAAGAATGTATAGATTTAATTCTGCAGCATATCATGTAGCCTGGCAAACTGGATGCAGGTAGCATGTATATACATATTTTTTTGCTTGTTAGTTTTCATAATTACAGCCCAAGGACAAGTTGGGCATGTCTAAAAGAATCCTAAACGCCCATAAAATTCATAGTGTCACATCACCACAGTCATGGTGATGCTGTTCACCTTTTGTAGAATCCTACAGAAAGCACACTTGAAAGTCATCAGAGATTGTCATCAAGTGCTTTGGGCCTCAGTTTACTTATTAGTAAGAGGACAGGATCCCTGCTGATATTCCCCCACATCTGCTGAATTAACAACAACAACAACAACAACAACAACAACAACAATTAGTGAGCCTTGGCAGCTAGCCATGTACAAATGTATGAGGGCTGTGAAGGCCCAGTCAACGCTACATGGGGAGGTTTCTATTTGGCTTCTCTCTGCAGGGAAGGAGCCAATTTGTCTGATGTGGAGAAAGTGTGTAACACCAGTCCATTTAGTTAACAAGCATTTCATTACGTTTCTATGGCACATTTCCTAGTGCACAATGGAAATGAACAGTCTCTAGATTTCACATTGAGGAACTGTATGCTTCCTTGGATCTTGGGCTTGGAAGTTCAGAGCTGAGCTACAAAGAGAGAGTCCAACAGAGAAGAACATCAATATATGGTGAAATATTTGTATGACAATACATTTAGTATGATCCTAGACTTCACCGTGTCACTCATTACAATGACGTTTTCTTGGAATTGCACTAATGCACAACAAAAAAAGAAGGCTGTAACATGGTCTACAAAGGAAATCATATGGTGATTTCTTGCATTTATGGAAAGTTGCATTTGTAAAAACATTATAAGAAAGGAAGTCATCTCTAAGCCCTTTCCTGAGCTTACCTTGATTTCATGTTTATAGTTAACCTACGTTTCATAAAAAATACAGATAGAAATGACCTTATATAATTACAGAAAATGCATAAGACTTAGGATGAAATAATGATTCTTTGTTATTTTTCTTATTCGTGTACTTGTTTGATGGTGGGTCATGTGGCAGCTACAGTTTGCCCCTAAAGGTGTGCTTTTCGAGGGACTTGTTACATTTCCTCTCCGCTGTCATTCAGCTCCAAGTCTTGGAGGAAGGCTTCATTGTTCCGAGGACAACTAGTATGACAGGTGCAGGTCCCAACAACCATCACTGGTTTCTTGATGATTTGTCCTGAAGAGCACTGGAACTCCACCTGGATGGTTTTGGTGTTGTGGGGGGTACAGCACCGGCCATCGCTGCAGACTCCACAGAACCTGGGCTTGTAGGTGTGCAGGCTGGTGCAGTTCTTGAACTGTAAATGGATAGCTCTGGGTGATTTCTTGGTGCGGAGACATTTTTTCCCTTTCTGAAAAAGAAGATAAGAACACATGGAATGGCTACCATTCTTCCGAGGAATCATTGTAGGTGTATGGAACAACTTGCCTACCCAGGATCCACTGGTCTTTGCTGACAGAACATTGCATTCAGGCAATGTGCTCAGCTAAAAGTATTTCTTTCCCTCAAATATCTGGGAACTTATGATGGCCTTGTGACAGAGGCCTGGTCAATGATATATGAACAAAAGAATCTGGGATAGTCTTTGTCCTTTGAGTAGAAATAAGTTTTAATTGCTCCCTGCATTCATTTTTCTTGCTGTCTAGAATGTGAACACCATCTTTGGACCTTGCTGTGATAAACATAAAGTGAAAGCATATAAACAATAACAAAATCTATCTTTTTTTCTATGAAAATTGCTTTCTTGGGTGTTATAAAGAGAAAGGAAAAAATCTGGTGTTATTTTTTTTTATTATTTTTTTTTTGGAGAGGTTTTCGCTATAGGGCATGTGCACTCGCCAGACAGACAGAGACAGACAGAGAGACAGAAAGCGAGAAATCACCCCCCAGGGGGGATGGTCACGCCGCAATCCCTTCTCCTCC